CATTCCACTTGAAAACATCCACCTATGTACAAACGCACAAAATAAAAGCAGGAGTTGGTAATTTTCCCCCTCCAGCACAGTCTGTCATTTAATTTGGTTAAGGCCATCTGATTGTTGCTCAATTCCACTTTCTTGCTTCCCCCTAAAACTCTTTCTGCATTTGAGATGACCTCTATCTCAATGTGTCTGCCACTGCCCGACTTTGCACAACAGGTCAGGAATCCTTCAGAAGAGGGATTAAACCCAGATTCCCAAAAAACACAACTGTGTACACTTAAGAGACACAGACCTGCAATAAAGATAGAATGTTCCAGAAATGAGGCAACTCTATCAGTATATGGAAAGAGAAAAGGCACATTCACATTTTGATAGTAGCCCCGTCATCAAAATGCCCACCACCACATGCTGAAGAGTAACTACAAATTGGCAATAAACATTGCCTTTTCAGTGACACTCGTGTGTGTATATGTAAAAAAATTTAAATTGTGACACAGAACTGAATTTGAGTAAGTCTTAGACTATTCTTTCATAGACAAACTTTGGAAAACACAAACTTACTGATCTGACAAGATCCAGTTGTCGTAACAAAATGGCCCAGATAATGTAAGCTGAGCTAGATCTGCATATTTAAAAAGACCCCTGTTGACCTACAGACAGGTGTCCTTCCTTCGTGCAATTTAAATTTGCAGTCTGTCAGTTCAAAGAGGGAAAGAGGTTGATAAGTGATAAGCTGCTCCGTTTGTTCAGTCATGCAGCATGGAAACAGACCCTTCGGTCCAACTTGTCCATGCAGACCTTTCTGCCAACAGAAGTTCATTTTCAGCATTTCAGCAGAAGCAGACTCATCTGCACAGTGCCGAAGAAATCTCACCCTCCAACACTCGCATCGCCAGTGTTAGCGGCTAGCAAATTTTTCTTTGTTTTTACATGGAATGTAGATGTCAGAATTTGTTGCCCATCCCGAATTGCCCTAAACTCAGTGGTTTGAGAGACCATTTCAAGTAGCAGTTAAGAGTTGACCATAATACTGTGGGTCTGGAATCACATGTAGGTCAGACTGCGTAGGCATGGCAGATTTCCTTCCCTAAAGGACATTAGTGAACCAGATGGATTCTTACAATTGAAGACAGTTGTCATGGTTATTATCATTCAGACTTGTTTTATGTTCCTGATTTAATTAATTAAATTTAAAATCCACTAGCTACTGAGGTGAGATTTGGACTCATGTTCCATAAAAGCAAAAGACGGGGCTGCTGGAAATCTGAAATGAAAAGAGGAAATGCTGGAGAAACATAGCAGGTTTAGCAACATCTGTGGAGGGAGAAGCAGAGTTAATGTTGTGAACCAGGGATGATGATTCTTCAGCATTGAAGTTCTACTGTTGAAGGAGAGCCAAATTGGACTATAATGTTAACTCTGTTTCTTTCTGCATAAATGCTGCCAGACCTGCTCAGTTCTTCCAGAATTTTATTCTTTTATTCCAGAATAATAAATTGTGACTGTGACTAACTCAGTTACATCACCACTATCTTCATGGGGAGGCTGTGCACCCTGTACCTTTTCAAAATAATGTGAAGAGTGAATATCAGAAGTTTTTGAAGCTGCTAACTCAAATAATTTAATAAAGGCCCACTCTCTTTCCCCCCCACCTTGACACCAGCTCTCTAGTTGTGTTTATTGGTATTGGATGCTGGAGGGGTAGTAATAACTTAGCAACTGGTGACGAAACCATTTCTTCCTAATGTAGCATAGATCAGATGCACAACATATTATGCCCAGTACTGGGAAAACATCCTCACACACAGCACTAACTTGATCTTTCCATTCCCTGAGATTGCCAGGCAAATGCTAATTAGTGGAGCTGCGGTACAGTTTTATTTTTGCTGTGCTGAGACTATGTTGGAAATATACAGTCTCATTGAGAGAGGATACTCCCTGCTGTGTGTAGCAGCTGTCTGCTGAATTTAAAATTGCTCCCTGTACAATTTCCATTTCCTTCTACGTAGTACATTAAGTAATTGTGCTCTAACTAGAAAAACAAATCATGTTTGCATGAGTTTCATTGGCTAGTGTACCATAGTCAGAAAAGATTAGCCAGGAGAGTTTATAATCTCTGTGCCTTGATATGTTCTCTTTGACCCCTGTTTGCCTGCATGTTAACCCATGACCAGGTATATCATTGAGATCAGTTCAGTAAGTTGGGAAATAACCAGTTGCTCACTGATAGCAGGGATTATTTTGGATTTGCAAGTCAAAGTGAAGTGTTGAGGTCTGTAGTTTGGGACACCAAGTGTGCTGACACCTCCCAAAACATCTCTCAAATGGTGGATTACTCTGAAGTGCAGTTGCTGTTATGAAGGCAAATGGGACTATCGTTTTGGAAACAGCAATATCTCATAAACCATAATGTGATGGGCAGTGAATAAATATTATTTCTAAATGGTGCCAACATGGCCTGGATTTACTGCCCATTTCTAGTTCCGCCAAGAAGATGGTGGTGGGAGTTCTTTTTGTATAATTATGTAGGGGTTACAAGAGAATACTAAGAGATTGCCCCATGAAGAGGAAGGAATGATGGGCAATATGATCTCAAGCCATAGTGAGTTGGTGGAGATCTATTACATGTTGCTTTTATTCTTCTCAGTGTTAAGCTTGGAGTACTGGGAAGTGCTGTTAAAGTAACCTTGGTGAGTAACAGCAGTGCATCCACTGTGCTGGTGCTGGTGGGAGGGGGTAGATATTGTAAACCAATCTAGTGAAATCCTGTGTCCTATGAGGTTGTTGAATTGCTCGCTGAGCTGGCTTGTTTTTGTTCAGGCACTTCGTCACCATGCTAGGTGACATCATCAGTGGATCCTCCAATGAAGGCTTCATTGTAGGCTCCTTGATGATGTCAACTAGCATGGTGATGAAGCGTCTGAACAAAAACAAGCCAGCTTGGCAAGCAAGTCAACAACCTCATCCACAATGCGAACTACAGATCTTTGCCAAAACCTGCCTGTCTCAAGCTTCAGTGTCGTTGACTCAGTTCTGATTGTGATAAGTGATGTGTTCCATCATACAGCTCTCTTGAGTCTGATATGGGTTTTGCCTCCTGCAAGATATTTCACTTGAGCAATACTTAATGTTATCCCTCGTAACATAAACTAGGTGTGGACAATGTATTGAAGAGTCCCAACGGACATTAATTACAGCTAGCCATTACGTACAAACACCACGTTCACCAGCACATAAATGTCTGAGATAACATCAAGCTGTTATATTGTGACAGAACAGCATTAAACAGCATGCTTCCAGTAGCATATGATGCTTGGAGTGACTCAAGTTAAGATGGAGTATATGATCTTTATAAAGACTTGGGTTACATGCTGTGGTACAGTGATGATATCATGAGCATGTCTTTTAAGGCACTCTGGTCATGAGACACACCACAATAGTTCGCTGAATGCAAATAGGCCTTGAATCATCAGGGAATGAATAATCTGCTGTGGGATACCCAATCTTTGGATCTGTTCGTGCAGCAATGATGCTGAGTTTAGCTTTCTTTTGATGCGTTTTTACTCTGACCACTGGAGGGCTGTCATTCCACCTTTGTTGTTTTCAGCTTTCCTAGAGTTACTTGGTGCTGTACACCATCAAACACTGCCTTGATCTTGAAGGCAACTGCTGTCGCCTCTCTTAACATTTAGTGCTTGCATTAATGCATGGATGATGTGGTACTTTAGTGAGCTGTGGGACCTGACTGAACTCGGTAGCTTGTCCCAAGATATCTCTGTCCAGGAACGCTGGAGAGACGGAACTAAATAGATCTGATGAAAGTAGGTTGTGTGTCTCTTGAATATGCTGGCCATTTACAGAGAGTTGTTTGACTTGGAGATTAATTACAGCTATGAAGAGAACTCACTACAAATACTCGTCATAATACAATCTCTTAAAATCTGTTACTGGGAATGAATAATTGTGTCCTGGTGTGTTTGCATTGATTTATCCTTTAAATATTCTGTATGCCTAATTTTGGCAATAGTGTGTACTACCCGCAGCCTAACAAGAGGAGGATGAAGTGTGGAAATGAGGCACCTGCAAAACGGCAGTAAATTTAATCAATCTATGTATCCTGTCAGTAGCTTATTTGCTCATAAACAGCTTCACTTAGGTACTGTGTTAAGGGCTGGACCGAGGGTGCAATGGCTTGGAGATGAGCTAATTGAGCATGAGGGATATGGGGAATGTATATAGAATAGCCAGTTTGATCACAACCATCTTGAACTGTTCTCCAAACATCATGCAGTTTTCTAAAGCCCAGTGGCCTTCAGTTAAAGGACGAACATGAGGATTTCTGTTGAGCTTTGCCCTCCGTACAGACAAAGGGTGAAAAGAGGCCTGGCTGTCTCACTCGCAGTGGCTTTCACCTTTAAACAATGTGTTCACTCCGTGGTTTCAGATTCATTTGCAATGGAGTCTGTCAGCTATGCTGATCTTAGTTGGGAATGTAAAATAAGGGCTCTACTTAACCCCAGTTAGAGAGGAGAAGAAATTATTTGGGCTTACCGCTCTTGATAAATGACCTTCAGAAAGAGTGCATATATGTGATTGACTATTGCATCCAGGCAGTAATGCCTCCAGGGGCATCCAAGCCCCCATTGTCCAGACCCTAAGGGATGGCCACATGGGCAAGTAAAGGAGGCCAGCTGTATTTCATCAAACATCAACCTCTTTGGTTTCAGATCTCCTCCTCTCCCAACGAGCATCAGAACTCTAAGGAAAGGACCTGAAGCCCAGTGAGAATCAGTACCTTTAGAAGAGAGGGTGGAAACAGTGCCCAGGAAAGCTCAAGCAGATCGCAATATACACAGCGATTCCTATTCAACAACTTCTAGCTAGCCCTCAAACAAAAGCAAAATATTGCAGATACTGGAAATATGAAATGAACGAAGAGAATCCTGTTCAGTCTGGCAGCATCTGTGGAGAATGAAACAGAGTTAATATTTAGAGTCTGATAAGACTTACTCTGAATCATTCTATTCCAGCTAATCATGTGGTCAGTGAGTAAGTGATTGTCTGAGCAAACATTCCCTGCTGATACATGTGTTTCCTGCTTATGTATTAATGACCAGAATGGATTTAGCAGGGTCCAACTTCCTCAGTGCTTCAGATTGCATTTGGAGGTCCATCCTGTCTTTGAGTGTATTTAAATACGTTTAAATGGGTTTATGTGTGTCTCTCTCCCTGTTCACAAATCTCACTTCTGGCTGTTCTCTCCATTAATTGATCTATGCTAACAAGTTCCTCCTTTTTTAACATACACAGTTGAGGTGAACAGTGGCATGTTATATCCACAGAGCTGCACAGTTAGCACTGTTAAGGCCACAAGCTCTCCAGCTCCTGAACGTCTGTGCAGCAAGCGTATTCCAGAACTCTGGCCAATTGATGCTCCACTTAACACTCTGTGCAGAATTTTATGGGCTAAATTGGTTGGAATGGAAATGGGTGACCAAAAACCTAGCGCCGTCAGCCTGCATGCCTGTTTGCCATCTCGGTTTCTGGCTCAGGTGACCTTTGTGAGGGTGGGAGGATGGTGGGTTACTGAGCATACCTGCAACAATGATCAGGCCAGTGAACGTACTTAAGGAGCTAGGCCCTGATTCTTACAACTTTGATTTGGTGCCTTTATAATACAGCCCAGTTTGAGGATGGTTAGAATAGGGTTGGCTGTTCCTTGAGACTGTTTCACAGGATAAGCCCAAAGAATGTTTACTCATTGTCATGTTCCTACCTTATCGTCTGTTCCATCTCCATTTGCCTTCAGAAATGTGAAAGGTCTTCACTTTTTTCATTTTTGCTTTTTCAAATTATTGTCAAAAGGCCTCGTTCAGAATCACTGGCTGCCAATGTTACAGCAATCCTGTCTCTCTTCCTACCACACCAACCACTCCCCAATCCCATTGATAGCTCTCCCCTGCCCAAATACAGCAAAGTATCTACTTTCTGTTAGTAACACGTTTGTCACCCAGAAACAAACCCAACTCCTGATTCCCACTTTCACGATTAAAATCGGACTCTTGGTGTTGGTAAATGTTGATGTAAGCTGACTGCAGACCATAATCTCTAGTGATATGTTGCTCTTGAGTCAGTATTTTGTGCTGTCTGCTGATACTCTGCCTAAGTTAGCCCTCCCTGCTCTGAAGGACAGCCTCTTCTATCTCTATGGTCAGGTACTTTGTGAACTGGGTGTAAGATTGAGGGAGGAAGTTGTGGATGGGGGTTGGAGAAATGGGAGTGGGACACCAGGTGGTGTGGTACCACAGCTAAACCTGAGCATTTGCCCTGGATGCACTTTCCAGGAGGGATTACTGATTAGTGTTCAGAAGCAGGAATCCTAATCAATTCAGTATCTCTTCTACACCCACGAGATATGAAGTGAACTTTGTTAGTCAGTGTAACGCATGAAGTTGGACATCAACTAATTGGGCCACTGCAGGTCAAGAAAGAGGGTAGAGACTTATTGTTTAAACTTTATGCTTTCTGGGGACTCTGTACTGATAGCTGTCTCTACACTGTCTCATCAAACATTCCCAAAGCACATACAGGACAGATTGAATACATGACAAACATTCCTTTATCTGGTCATTGTCAAACATACTCAAGCTAAGTACCAAACAGCTTAGGAATAGAGCCAAGTAACTATTAAGTAGAATGCCCATATTAAACCAGATTTATGTTCTTTCTGACCATTTGATGTCGGTCTTGGGGGCACTAATTGTCAGAATTTACATATAAAATGATTAATTTGATGAATAAAGACTCCTTTTCCTCCAAACTAAAGATGATTTGTATTCTGGGCCAGTTGTTTAATATGGCAACAGATAAAATTCACATGGACATTTGTACCAATAGAAAGGTTGTATAATATCATGCAGATGAGTTGGATTACACACAGTGAGAGAACGGTGCTGTAGCCCTCAGCTCCTGTGAGTCAGTGTTTAACTGGCTACCTCAACTAGTCCTTTAATGGGTTTGCATATGTTTCACTTTATTGTGATCATCAACAATCTCCCTGTTACCTTACAGACCATCTTAGGTGTCAGCTCAGGATCCAGCTGTGTATCATGGGACAGCTAACAATTAGCAGCAAATCTCAAGACATTAGGATGTCTGAACAATGGGAAGAAGAAAGAGTTTATGGAAGTTTTTGGATATTCTAATTTTCCTTGACTTTATGGATTTCTAGATTTGTGAATTTGTTCCAATTCAGAAGAAAAGTCAGTGTTCTAATGACTGCTTGTGAAATAGGCCCTGAATAAGCCAACATCAAACAAAGCTGACCCACACCAACAACCTGCTTCAGGTGCCTTAAGAAAGTGAGGTAGGGATTCTGCCCTCAATGGGTTGGTGAGGGTGGTGGTGTTGGTTGGTGGCCAGTAACATCTTGTGGATCTCTATATGAAAACCCCCATTCCTTCCTGTCCTTTAACAAGTTGAGTAAATAAAAATTGTTCGATTTTTAATTTCTATTGTCACGTGTACCAAAATACAGTGAAATGCTTTGTTTATGAGTGGTACAGGCAGATCACAGCAAGCAAAGGATTATACAGATCAAAAAGACTTAGAGACATACATGTTACGTTGCAGGTTACATTAATTGAGGCTAGAGTCCATCCAACAGTCTGATAACGGCTGGAAAGAAGCTGTTCCTGAACTTGCTCGTGCGTGTGTTCAGGCTTCTGTATCTTCTACCTGGCAGAAGAGGTTGTAGGAGATCATTACCGGGGCGTGATGGGTCTTTGATTATGTTGGCCTCCTTTCCGTGGCAGCAAGCCATATAAATGAGTCCATGGAAGAAAGGTTGGCTTCCGTGATGGTCTGGGCTGTGCACACTACCTTCTGCAGTTTCTTACAGTACTGGGCAGAACAGTTGCCATACCAGGATGTTATGCACCTGGACAATATGCTTTCTGTGGTGATCTGTAGAAGTTGATTAGGGACCTTATGGACATGCCAAATCTCCTGAGCTGCCTGAGGAAGAAGAGGCGTTGTTGTATCTTCTTGACTGTCACATTTACGTGGGAAGTCCAGGACAGGTTGTCAATTATCGTCACTCCGAGGAACTTGATGCTCTTTGCTCTCTCAACCTCCGTTCCTTTGATGTAGATGAGGGCGTGTTCTCCTCCTTTCTTTCTGAAATCAATAATCAGTTCTTTAGTTTTGCCAACATTGAGAGAGAGAGTGTTTTCATTGCACCACGCCACCAAGCCCTCTATCTCCCTTCTCTATTTTGACTCATCATTGTTAGATATCCGTCCCACTACGGTGATGTTGTCAGTGAACTTGTAGATGGTGTTTGTTCAGAATTTGGCAACACAGTCATAGGTGTACAGGGACTAGTACGAGTCCTGTAGGGGCTGAGGATATTTCCCCCAGTGTTGAGTCTTATTGTGGAGGAGGTGCAGTTACCTATCCTCACTGATTGCAGCCTGTGGGTCAGAAAGTTGAGGATCCAGTTGCAGAGGGCAGAGCCGAGACCAAGGTCACAGAATTTTGAGATCCGTCTGTAGGGGATAATGGTGTTGAAGGTGAAGCTATAGTCAACAAACAGGAGTGTGATATAGGTGTCTTTGTTGTCCAGATGTTTCGGGATGAGTGCAGGGCTAGGGATATGGCATCTGCTGTGGACCTGTTATGTTGTTAGGCAAATTGTAGAGGATCGAGGCAGGCTGGGAGACTGGAGTTGATGTGGGCCATGACCAGCCTCTCGAAGCACTTCATGATTATTGAAGTCAGAGCCGCTGGGCGTTAGTCATTAAGGCACGTTGCATGTGTTTTCTTGAGTACGGGGATGATGGTGGTCTTCTTGAAGCAGGTGGGGACTTCAGCTTGTAGGAGGGAGAGGTTGAAGATGTTGGTGAATACCTCCACCAGTTGGTCCACACAGGATCTGGATGTTTGGCCGGGGACACCGTCCGCGCCTGTCGCTTTCCTTGAGTTGACTCCCAGGAAGACTGGTCTGACGTATGGAGCAGTGACGGGGAACAGGTGTGTCCAGGCTGTCAGGGCAGGCATCGCCACGCCGGTGGGATTCTGCTGAAATTGAGCTTGTCAGGGAGGGACCTTACACTTTCATTTTGAATCCCGTAATATTGTTTAGGCCTTGCCATAGATGGCGGGAGTCTGTTTGGTAGGTCTGGGTCTCTAACTTGGGCTGGTACTGTCTCTTGGCCTCCCTGATGGCTTTGTAGAGGTCATATCTGGATTTTTTGTATTGGTCTGGGCCACCCGACTTGAATGCTGCACGTCTAGTCTTCAATCGTGAGTGGATTTCCTGGTTCATCCAAGGTTTAAGGTTGGGGAACACTCGGATTGACGTCTTTGGTATGCAGTCCTCCGTGCATTTGCTAATTTAGTCGGAGACGTTGGTGGCTTACTCGTCTAGGTTTTCTGCTGAACGCTTGAACATGGACTGTTGGATATATACATTTATATGTAAATATAGATAGGGAGCAAGGTGAGGGATTTAATATGAATTGTATACATTTACGTATCAATATATACGGAGAGCATGGTGAGGTATACGTGGGGGTAAATATACAGAGGCTGTGGCCTAGTGGTATAGGTTTCTAGTTCAGTAACCCAGGGAATGATCTGGAAACCTGAGTTCGAATCCAGTTTGAATTCAATAAATATCTGTTGTGTAATATTTTCTTGAAAGTGGAGTCACAGGTAGACAGGATGGCGAAGAATGTACAAAAATAGAAATTGCTGGCAAAGCTCAGCAGGTCTGGCAGCATCTGTGGAGAGAAATCAGAGTTAACGTTTCGGGTCCAGTGACCCTTCCTCAGAACTGAAGAAAGCGTTTGCCTTTGTTGGTCAGTGCATTGAGAATAGGAGTTGGGAGGTCATGTTGTGGCTGTACAGGACACTGGTTAGGCCACTTTTGGAATACTGCATTCAATTCTGGCCTCCCTGCTACAGGAAGGATGTTGTTAAACTTGAAGTGGTTCAGAAAAAAAAATTACAAGGATGTTGCCAGGTTTGAGCCATAGG